GTTGTCACTGTTAAACTGTTGTAATAACAATGGAATAATAAAATAATTTACTCAAATGTACATAATAATACATATACATACCCATAAAAACAATATTAAACGCAATAACTTTTTTGTACGCGAAGAAAAACTAATATAGGTCCGTCGGGATTAGAATCCAAGACTCCTTTCTAATATGTCTACTTTATAGCGAACGGACGGAAGAGAATCCGTTCACGACCATAGTCCCTTCTTAGGTTTAACGTAGTTCACAAATTCACCGTTCTCATGACGTAGAGGGCAGCAGGAAATCCCTGACTTTTTACACTATCGGTATTTCAGAACATGAGACACGAAGTCCCATAAGATGATAGGTCTATCCTATACCTATTCGGTGGTAAAAGCTAATTTTCTTTTCTTTTGTTTGCTTTACTCGATTTATTTCGTGATTCATGTGTTTGTACATAAATAAGAAATATAATGAAATACGCTTTGCATTAAGTTTTATGTGAAGCGTCTTAAAAATATCATAGATATGCGCTTATTTTTATCGCAGAGTACCGTGACATTAGCTAGTACTTTATCGCACCGTTCCTTGACCGCTGATTTTGTAAATCTAAGAAATCATTCTAAGATGATTTGTCGTCGAATATACGAAATATTTGAAGGACGGGTCGGTTTACATGCATTTTAAAAAGTTTCAGAAACTGTTCTCTAGAAAGCATCTCAGGACTTCTTCGAGGAAAACTACGAATTTATTTCCTTACAATTTATTCGTAATTTATTACGTTACATTTTAGGTTAGTTTAAGAATGCAGCATAAAAGATTCATTGACACAGTTTCGACCCGTAATTTAAAAAGATACATTTCAGATATCTCTTTTTAGATGGTCATCTGTTGTTTTTTTATGTTGCAATAAGTAAGAGAAATTAAAAAAATGACGTCAATTATAAAACTTCATGCTGTTTCTGGGGCTATGGACGAGTCTCCTCCTTGCTATGTATTGCAAGTTGATGAATTAAGAATACTACTTGACTGTGGATGGGATGAGAACTTTGATCAAGAATTTATAAAAGAATTGAAACGGTAGATAAGTTATTACAATTTTTTAAACTTTGTATCACTTATCCGTTAAAATGATACATTCTTTTATAATTTTATAGGCATGTGCATCAGATAGATGCAGTGTTGCTATCATATCCAGATCCATTGCATTTGGGTGCTTTACCATATTTAGTTGGAAAATGTGGCCTAAATTGTCCTATATATGCCACAATTCCTGTATATAAAATGGGACAAATGTTTATGTATGATATGTATCAGGTACTAACAATGAAAATGACCTTAATCATTGTTTAAAATTCAACTATGTCACCAACAATAATATATACTTCTGATTATAGTCTCGTCACAACATGGAAGACTTTGATTTGTTTACATTAGATGATGTAGATGCAGCATTTGACAAAATTGTTCAGTTGAAGTATAATCAGAGTATATCAATGAAAGGAAAAGGATATGGAGTTACTTTGACACCATTGCCAGCTGGTCATATGATTGGAGGGACTATTTGGAAAATTGTAAAGATTGGAGAAGAAGATATAATATATGCTGTGGATTTCAATCATAAGAAGGAGAGACATTTAAATGGTTGTGAATTAGAAAGATTGCAAAGACCATCTTTATTAATAACAGATGCTTTTAATGCTACATATCAGCAAGCTAGACGCAGAACTAGAGATGAAAAGTTGATGAGTATGTGAATGAAAATTCACTTTTTTTCATGATAGTTTGTTGATATATAGTGCTTCACGGTATCTTATACTTAATTATCTTACAGCAAACATTTTACAAACTCTGCGTGGTGGTGGAAATGTTTTGGTCAGTGTAGATACAGCTGGGCGTGTGTTAGAATTAGCACATATGTTGGATCAGCTCTGGCGTAACAAAGAATCTGGTTTGCTTGCATATTCTCTAGCTCTTTTGAATAATGTTAGTTACAATGTTGTGGAATTTGCAAAATCGCAGATCGAATGGATGAGTGATAAATTAATGAGGAGCTTCGAAGGAGCTAGAAATAATCCATTTCAGTTCAAGCATCTGCAATTGTGTCACAGCATGGCAGAACTAAATCAAGTACCCAGTCCAAAGGTTAGAACTAACGCAATATTAACAATTTATGAATATTGTCAAAGGAACTTACATTTGTATAAACTTTCTAGGTTGTACTTGCAAGCACACCAGATATGGAATGTGGTTTCTCAAGAGAATTGTTTTTACAGTGGTGTGGTAATCCTCAGAATAGTATTATAATAACTAGTAGAACCTCCCCAGGAACACTTGCCAGAGATTTAGTAGAAAAAGGGGGCAACAGGAATATAACACTGGAGGTGAGGAGGAGAATCAAACTGGAAGGACTTGAATTAGAAGAATATCAAAGAAAAGAGAAATTAAAACAAGAACAGTTAAAACAGGAACAAATGTATGCAATTTTACATTATTGTATCCTGAAAATGATGCTATCAAAGTATGTTTTACATATTCAATAACTTACATATTAGGGAAACCGCTGATGTGAGTTCTGAATCAGAAGACGAAATAGAAGTTGGTGGTGGAAGAGGGAAACATGATTTATTGGTGAAGCAAGAAAGTAAACCTGGTTTCTTTAAGCAAAGTAAAAAGCAGCATCCTATGTTTCCGTTTGTGGAAGAGAAAATTAAGATAGACGAGTATGGAGAAATCATACGGTAATATTTTTGTTATATTAAAAGTGCAGCTATGTAATCATTCTTTTCAAATATTTAATATCACTTAATACAGACCTGAAGATTATAAAATCGCGGAAACTATGCCGGAAGTAGAGGATAATAAAGAAAATTTGGAAACAAAACAAGAAGATGCTGCACATCATCCAGAGGTAGCTACTGACATTCCCACCAAATGCATTCAAGTTACACGTACAATGACAGTTAATGCATCTGTCACATACATAGACTTTGAGGGCAGATCTGATGGGGAATCATTGCAAAAAATCCTAGCACAGTTAAGGCCTCGAAGAGTTGTATTAGTTAGGGGGTCTCCGAACGATACGGAAATTCTAGCTCAACAAGCGCAAAGTGCGGGTGCACGTGTGTTTCTTCCAGGTAGAGGAGAAACTCTCGATGCTACAACGGAAACACACATTTATCAGGTAATGCAACTGGCATGTAACTTTAATGCTCGTATACATGCAATATTGATTAATGCGATTATTCTTAGGTTCGTTTGACTGATGCTCTTGTCAGTGGTTTGAATTTCTCTAAAGGAAAGGGTGATTCTGAAGTAGCATGGATCGATGCAATGATAACTGCTCGAGATCAGGTTTGTCGAGATGCTGTTGCTGATACACAGCAAGATGATACAATAGACCAAAGTGATAAAATACTTACCCTAGAACCATTACCATTGAACGAGGTATGTATTTATATGAAAATTCTATTATTTAAAATACAAATGTGTACAATATACCTCATATATTTCACAGGTACCTGGGCATCAAACGACATTCATAAATGAGTTAAAATTATCTGACTTCAAACAAATCTTAAACAAAAGTAATATTCCCTCCGAATTTAGTGGTGGAGTTTTATGGTGTTGCAATAATACTATTGCCGTTAGAAGGGTTTGTATTTTATTGTATAGAAAGCTATATATGAGAAATAGTGTAATATCGTTTTACTGTTTTTCTTTCAGCATGAAGCTGGCAAAGTAATATTGGAAGGCTGCCTATCTGAAGATTATTACAAAGTACGTGAATTATTATATGAACAATACGCAATTGTATAAATTAATTGTATAAATTATAATTTTTGTACCAGACTTGCCTATTGTCTTTTTATAAACCAGTTTAATCTCACAATTAATTTTTAAAATATAAATTTATGATAAGTCTCAATATACTGTTTGAGAATGTTTAACAAGTAAGAATTAACAACTGTTGATTTTTACTTTTAGTATAACACTTGAGAATAATAAGAAATATTTACAACTTTTACAATACGTACAATCATGCATTAGCTCTTAATTGTACTCGTCATTTTGAAAATTGGCGCGCAGGTAAATTAACCTAGTATTTCCCGTCGACTTGTGAAACAATAAAATAATTTTTGATGAAGAATTATAATGTTGAATCAGTAATTGTTAAAAAGGAATTTACAATCTCAATAAAATAAAATAAGTGGCAAGTCAGTGAGTTATAAATTTGTCAATTTATTATTAAAGGTTACGTGAAATTGTATATATATGTGGATTTCTTATATTGTAATAACAATATACACCTCGAAGAAGAATAATTATTATGTATTATGTATACCGTTTTACAGGTATTCATAATTAAATATGTTGCAATCGAAAATCTGTATATCTAAGAGTAGTATTTAATCGTGTTAATAACGGTTTGTTCCAGAATTGTATGCTTTTATGATAGGCAGCCAAGAGCATATGAAAATATAAACTGATACATGCAGAATTGAAATTAAACTTTACAGCATGCGTAACTATTATCAAGCGGCACTTGCAATTACTGCAGTAGTGAGCCTTGTGTCCTTATTATTTTATAGACACGAGTACAACAAATTAAGATATGTATTAGAAGTTTTCAATTACTTTGGTAAACCAAATCAGAAAAATGTTGAGACAAATTGTACAAATAATGTATCAACATTTAGTAAACCTAACATGAAATTTGAGGTGCCTACTTCCTCCTGGCAGAGATTAGAGAATGACTTATATGTTTATTCTGCATACAATATACATGATACAGAAGTCCAAGTAATAGGTTTTGGTTTACCGAGTAGTATTCAAGATATGCAGTGCATAATATTTTTTGAAAATGAAATCAAACCAACCTTAGGGAGTTTCAAATACATTCCAATTAATAGTAACTTAAGTGGTACAAATACTGATAAAAGTTTTTACAGTGGGTATTATTTCTACTGTCACTACACTAAAAATAAAATACCAGTAGGGATAACATTTCTTACAAAATCTAATATAAATATCAATGATGCACCTATATTAGCAATTAAATCTGACCGATACAATTCAAATTACACTAATGTTGGTGTATGTGTAACACCACCATTAATAAAACCAATGCATTCATCGGAGATGATTGCTTTTATAAATTTTCATGATATAATTGGCATGGATAATTTTATAGTGTATGATTTCGGTATTTCAAATGATTTTAATAGTCAGCTGAAAGAATTATCTAAGTCACAAAATCCACAATGGAAATTTACGTATACAGTTGTGCCATGGAATTTTCCGTTTTCCGGAATCCATCCTAATATAATAAAAGATCTCATACAGGCAGATTGTCTATATCGTACATACAATAAAGTTATGTACACTATTTCATTATCATGGGAAGAATATGTAGTACCAAGATACCATCATTCCCTTGTTGAATTAATGACAGATTTTAAACAATCCAAAATGAAAGCCGATCGTTACAAGATAAAATCCTTGACCTTCTGTACGCAACAAATTGACAATGCACATACGAAAAATACAAGATTTACAGTATTTAAAAAAACTTATTTTGAGTCGAGTATCATTGACAATCGGCCTATTTACATATATAATACAGATGAAGTATTTAAAAAAGACAACATTTATATCCGAGAAATTGGGAAAGACTTAATCACGTTAAATCGTTACAAACATTGTTTCGAAAAACCAAATCCAAATGCAGACAATGAAGATACCTCCATTCTGAGGTTTATGGAAGACATTCAAGATTCACCAATGTACAGAAAATTTATATTAAATACACGATAGTGTTATTATACTAATCATTCGGTATTGTTGGTTTAGAAGCAATGTATAAATTCAATATAGTGGTAGTATATAATTTTAGTTTAAAAGTCTGATCTAATGATATGTATAATATAAGTAAGCATATATTTTTAAATTCTGTATAAAAAATTTTGTTATAACAGAACATATCATTTTCATTCTTGTACGTTCACAGTTTGTATATAAATATAAGTATTTTATTAAATCTAATATCAGTTTTCATGTTAGGTACCTTTCACAACTCATTATCTTTCCTTATTTCGAAGATTTTGTTTCTAAAACTGCCTTTTGGTAATTATACATATATAAGAGACAACACTTTGCGTTGACGATTTTATTATAGATTTTACAATAGTCTCGTAATTTTATTATACGTTACTAATTAAAAGTTTATTATCGATTTTCAGTTCGGTAATATGTTCCCTGTATTATATCAGCTAAATTGATATTAAATAATAAGAACCACATTTAAAATAAATATTGAAAGTATAGAGTAAGTTGCATTTGTTACCAAAAAAAGTGTTGAACTGTTATTTTCAAGTATATCAATGTATATTTAAGAATGATCTAATCAATACATCACAAACTTTCATAACTAATGATCTAGAAGAAAATGTTTATTTCAGTCGTTGAATTATCGCTGTATTTTGCAAACCAGCTTCTCCGATTGTTTTGTCTCCACTAAGTTCCTTGGTTGGATATGTTGTTAATAAACTGAATTCCCTCATGGCATACTGAGGTCTCATACTAAGACAAAACTGATTAAGGAATAACTTGGGTACTTAAAAAATAGAATTATTGATGCAATAATCATACTACTAATTACAAAAGGATACGTTACTATATATTGCCTCAAATCATTGACCGTGTGTGTTAAATTAAATTGAGCTTTCACACTAGTACCATCAGCTAGACGAATTTGCAGTGTTGTGACAGGTTTCGATTCATCTACATTTAATTGCTTTTTTGCTTGACATTCGTTTGCTGTTTGATCTGCCAAATCTGTTGGTATTGTCATACCCACAGTTGCTGGAGATGGACTGAACAATGTACATTAGTAAAATTATATGAAGTACATTTGAAAAATATTGGTGTGCATGATAGCTTAATATACCTTCCTAACATATGTCCTTTCCCAGTAAAAGCTTTTACTTTGACCTTTGGAGGAACATATATCTCATGACGATGATCCTCCATATCAAGCCATGCCTCGGTACTTTGAATTTCTTGTCGTATTTCTGCTGGTATTTCACCTCTTTTAATGGTATCAAGGAATTCCCTATTTTCTGGATCACTGTATAGTCGAAGCTCAGAATCATTTATAGTGAATCCATCCTTCCACAACTTCAAAGTAATAGGCCCAGAATTAGATTGTGGATGATTAGAGGTCGAAGCAATAACTAAAGAAAATTAAATTTATGTTTTAGCAGCACAACAATGGAAGTATGTATTTAGAATTAATGATACTCATAATGTACCTTCTGTATCAGAATTTGTTTGTCCTAATTTATATCCAGCACCACTAAAGGTATTTGGTCTCTGCTGCCCTTTTGGTTTTGGTTTTACATCCACTGACTGGCCCTGACATGATTTAAACATATCACTAACAATATCTTTTTTCTTTCCTGGCCCTAAAACTTGCTGCCCACTGTTTTTAGAACCACCAGCATAAAATGATTGTCCTTCTTCTTCATCAGGGCTGCCTTCTTTCTCTTTAAGATCATTTAATGTTGCAATTTTTGATTTTGGTTTCAGTTTTTCTTCCATCTCAGTGTATTTTGCACCTTCTACAATATTCTCTGGAGCTTCTTTATAATCGTCCTCTGATGAATCTTCTGCTGGTGCTGCAATTAATGTAGTAGGCTCATCGTTCTCGTAAAAACTAGCAAGAGCAACCTGAAACATTTAAAGAATAAAAAGAATATTTAGTAAAGCATTGAAAGCATCAAAAGAATTGTGTTAAATGCCACCTAGAATGTTTAAGCATGTTATCATCAATAATATTCGTAAAATAAGACATCCATCAATTTATAAACAGTTCATCGCAACGTTGCAATTACGAATTTGTATCTCGTAAAACAGTCTCTCCTTCGATCGTGCCTTTAGTGTAATAACAAAAGTTATAAACTATTTCAAAACATACTAAAACGTACTCGAATTTGTATCACGGGAATATTTAAGTTTCTTACATTTAAGGTTATAAAACTGGTGCTGAAATTTGACTAATATTTAGAAGAATAATGCTTGAAAGTGGTCATTCGTAAATTATTGCTTCGCGAATTAAAATTTATGAAACATTTAATAACTATGTCGCCTCACCTCGAGCTTCCAAGCAGATGACTCAAGGTAAAATCGTGCTCGTCCAGGTTCAACACCAGTTATATCTGTAAAATTCGAAACCAACTCTTCGTGGCTCGCCATTTAGTGCAAATATTAAATCACCTACGATGGATTAGATGATACCTGATTTTGAACCGCTTCAAAAATTTCTCTTGCAATAATTTTCTTTGTTCAGTAATTCAACTTTACGTCAATTTCTTCAATTTACCTGTCATTCCTTCCCATTTACATGGAACCGAACCGGATACGTATGGCGAGAGAATCCGCGAAATATTTGAATATACATTTCGCACTAATCGCAATTCTTTATTACTTTTTGCAAACTACATACAATACAATGTTCAATATTATATAATATTAGTTATTTTGTCCATTATGTTTTATATTATTACATAAATACATATCGTGTATCAAAAATGTTTCCATATTTGTTAGTCAATATTGCATAATAATATCCTCCATTTTGTTCAATTTTTTTATATTATGAGGTATGACAAAATAATGCCGTACCACATTTTATCCAATGAGCTTCATGTCCGTCTGTTATTAAAGGTATACTAATTACATAATTCTGCGATGTAGATTTAATATTTTTATCGGTACGTTGAATAGCAGCTACATAGACAGGACATTCATAAGCTTTGTCTGTATCTTTCTTATTTTGTAAAAATTTAACACATATAGGTGGCATATTCTGCCAGAATACGTTCGTGGAATTTTCTGCTAATATATTTTTTTTAACATTCCATTGAGCACCAGATAAATGCAAACCACGAATAAAATAAACATCACTTTTTGTATCAGTTTCTTCTTCAATTATAACTTCAAATTCAAGGCAGACTTCTTCAATAGGTACATTATATTTTTTAGAAAACGATAATGAAATAGCAGAAAAAAACATTTTTCCAAAAAATAATGCATCAAGCCAAACAATTTTAGGACAATCTTCATTCCACCACTGTTGAAGAAATTCTATACGTTTTACTAAATTATTAATATAATATCCTAGATTGTCTGTTACATTAATACTTTGTAACTTCTTCCAAGTATTTGGAACTTTACATTTGTATATTTCTTCTGATATGGTATTTAAAGAATCAGTAAATGGAAGATAACCATCAAATGCTAAATTCAAATTATTTAAATTTTGAGTTATAATTGTTAAAATGTGTTTTAATAATCTTATTTCACAAAGAAGAATTCTATGTAAGGGCTCTTGGAGTAAAGAAGTTTGCTTTCCTTCTAACTGATGGATTTCAAATGTATTATTCAATTTATTTTGAATGTCATTAATTAAAACTAGGACTTGATCTTGAAACAATTGATCATTTAATAAAGGATCAATAAAATTCAAGCATGAGAGAGATGACAAGAATTCAGTAGCCATCATTGTATCCTGAATAATAGCTCCATTTTTGCTGAATCCAAAGACTTGAGATGACAGATCTAAAGGCATTTCTTCAATATATTTAATGACATGGAGATATTCACACCTTTGTGGTATCAACTTTGCTATATTATTTAAATATGAGTATTGTTGATTTTTAATTATATCAGAGTTACAATAATCATTTAAAAGATGCTTTAAAAATCTTCTATCAAAATGGTCTACAATTTTTCCTCCATAATTGCATTCTCCAATGAGGTACAGAAGAATGTTAAAAGGTACATAATCAGTAGTATTTATAAAATTTTGCATTTGCATGGCAGATATGTGAAAATCAGAATGATCAAAATCATATGGTATATTCCAACCTTGAACACCAAAATTCTTTCTTTTTTCTATAATTATATGAAAAAGAGATAAGCCAAAAAGAAGTTTTGTAAAGACTTTATCTTTGCCAGGACAGCCTTCAAAAAAATCTTTTCTTATTATAGGTTCAGACTGGTAAATATTTAGCAGTGTTTCTTTAATATTCAAAGGGGAATCATAGGATATCTTTATACTATTTTGCAAGATACTAATTGGAAATTCTTTCATGGGATAACTAGATAACCATAATCGAAAACCTAGAGATACATTGGAAATGTTGCAAATCTCACAGAATTTTTCAAGGTGGACCATCCAATGTGGTACCAAATGACAATTTTGTAAAAATACCCAAGTGCCTTCCTTCTGAGCCCTTTGTATCAGAAATTCAGCCTTTTTCTCTTGACTTTTACTCATAGATATAGAGATAAACTTTGATAAATAACCCTTTGTCTTTGCATGCACAGAAATGAGAGATAAAGGTGATGAACAACTTGGTAGAATGAATACAATAGGAGTTAAGCAACTGGATTCTGCATATGATTGAGATATTTTAAGTTGTGGGGAATAATTTTGTGTATTTCCCAATGTATCTTTTATTATTTCTGTAATCTGTATTATAATCTTATTAGGCTTTAAAGTTTTTATAAGTATAAGTTTTTGAAAAGAAGATTTCTTCACCCAGGGTTTTGGTAATAACTGATTCTGAAGTGTTTCGGAAGTGTAATATTGCTTCCAAATCTCATCATTGCAGCAGAAATTATCTACAAGACCATTAAAAGTGGATAATGTGTTATTAAGATTGTAAACATTTATCCAAATATCTTTTGGTAGCCAGTCAGGCTTTTTGTCAAAAATTATGTTAATGTGACACAAGTTTGGAGACATAAAATATTCTATCTCTTCTTTTGTGACTTCTTCATTATCTAATAATATTTTGGAACATAACAAGAAAGAATACAGTATCTTATGTTTTTCTGATAAGGATCTACAAACACTTGCATGAAGACCATGAGTAAATGACGATTTCAGATATGCTAAACGTTTTTCAAGAATAGCACTTCTATTTGAAGTCTCAATTGATCTAATATACAATTGCATAAACCATGTAAAAGAAAAACGATACATGTGATTCAAGGATGATAAAGCAATAAGTGTATTGAACAAGTCTACACAGTATTTAACAAACTGCATATAAACATCCCGAAATTTGCTGATTTCAAGTGACATTAATTTTGCTGCTTCTTGCTTTTTAATTATATTTAAAGAAAGACATTTCGAAGAATCCAAAATTTTTATAGCATTCTCATCTTCAAGAATATTTGTGGTTGTTGAAGATAAGGTGCATAAAATATTGTCTTCTTGTTGTTTTAATATTTTTTTGTTATTAACATCTTCCATAAGTAAAATTTCAAATTTTTCATGAAGTTCTGGTTTTTCTTTAAAGACGACAAGATCAAGGAGTCTATCTTGAAGAGCTTCATTTGGTATAGAAAAATCGATTACTGTGAATTTACTGAATACCTCAGGCGAATACTGTGGGTTCAATAATCTGGTTGTAATATATAATCGATAATCACGAGAATATTTTCCAACTTTGCAATCAAAATTCAAATATGAAGTGTTTCCATCATTATAAATTCTTTTCAGAAACAAAGGATCTAATAATGTTTCTAGGTCTTCTCCCACATTTTCAATTAATGTTGGTTTACCACATTCGATACTGCATTGAATAATTGATGTATAATTTGAATCAGTGAGTTTAACGACTTGAAGATCATTTTTATTCTCAATTGTCTTAATCCATTGATTTGCTTGATTATGTGAATCAATAAATAAACACCACAGTTCAGAATTACTCATAATAATAGCATTTTCAACTGAAAACCTATGCTTAGGTAAACCGCAAAGATACCAGTAGTTTATTTCATTTTCTTCTCCATGTATATTTACAAAATTATACTTAGTAGTAAATGGCATTTGCAAATCTCTGATGTATTGCTTCCAGTATTCTACAATTTTATCACGAAAAACAATAGTGTACGAGGCCATGTAACTTATTATTCCACATGATATTATCATATCTCCTACAAGATTATTGTAATTTTCTTGAAGACTTTTCGCGTACTGCATCCAGCGATCTTTTTCACCCCCCAAACTTGCAATTAATCTCTCTGCTTTCTTAAGTTTATCAGTGCAGTCTTCCACTTCTATTTCCAATTTTAGTTTTTGTTGCAATGTCTCTTGAAGACTATTATTTAGTGCTGCAAGTTTTGCATTTAATGTAGAAAGTGTTCTACGTTTCTCGTTTAAAAAATCTTCGGCTTCATCGCATTCTTTCTGTGCAGCTAGAAGCTTTCCTTTTTTAGGTGCTACTGCCTTTGCGACTTCATCATAAGATACCATCGCGCGCACCCATTTACAAAGTCCTTCGGCTGCACTTGATGCTTTGGCAACAATGTGTGGTTTAAAATTGTTGTCTGACATATATGTTTTTTTAATGATCTGCATTATATTTGGTGGAATATTATCTTTATCATAATCTTTTAAATTTTGTAAAAAATTCATATCTCCCAAAATGCGTTTACTTGGCCCCCAGTAGTCCGTGTATTTCTTACCAGTGACTGGATCAACGGGTCTATCTGGAGGTATATCAAGCATAACGCAGACTGCAGCCATTACTAATTTAACAGTATCAGGAGGATTTTTCATAGCTTTTACAAGTGTAATGTCTGTGGGCTTTAATGTGTTTAATGCAGCAACAGCATCTTCTAGAATTGGAATTGCTACAGCTAGATCAGCCTCACATTCTATTTTGAGTTTACCAGCTACTTCTGCTTTTTTATTTGCTATTTCTTCTTCTTGCTGTACAACTATAGTGGCTCCTTCTACTGTAATATTTTCATTTTCTACTTCCTTCATGGTAATCATAGTTTGCTTAGCAGACAGCTCTAATTGTGGTTTCAATATTGTTAATGTAGTTTTCATCTTCTCAACTTGTTGTGCTGCCAATTCCAATTTTTCTAAGCCTGCTAAATACCTGTTTCTTGTTGCAATAATATCGTTTTGCTTTTTTGATACCAGATGAGTATATAGTTTTAACATGTGTAGGAATGTAGATAATGTGATATGAATTGCCTTGGAAGTTTCTTTCAAATATTCATTACTTACTTCTTGCGCGTTATTATATAACTTTACACAAGCTTTTATTATATCTGGTTTTATATTTTCTTTAACATTAATATCTTGAATATATTTCGAACCTATTTGTTCAAGTGCATGTGTTGGCCATGTGTTGTACCAATTTATTGTGCAATATTTTAATAGTTCGGGATATTTATATAAATAAGATCTAATTGCTGTATTTGATGAATTGAAGCACATAACAATATGTAAATTATTTTTACACTGCTCCAAAAAATAATTCATTACAGAACGGGTACTTATTTCTGCATTTTTGTTTCCACCTTGAGCGTGTAAACGTACCATTTCAATAATATCATATTTCTCCTTAGTAGAAAATAAATCAGGTATTTCGCCTGTAGCTAGTAAGCTACTAATATCGCAAAGGAAAGTATTTGATATTTGTTTATCTTTGATAAAAAATGTAAGATTTTCCCTTAGTCCACCACATTTCTGTAGAACTGTTTTTAAATTATTCCTCCATATATTAAAGTTACAGGAAGACTGTACACATAGTTCAAATAATTCTTGTTGATTCATATAAGCTGCAAGACTTGTTATAGACTTTTTACCAGATCCTATATTGGAAATCATTAATAAATTGCCTCCTGGTATAGCTAAAATTCTTGAGATTTTAATCACTTTTTCTAGCACGTATTTTGTTATTACTATATCAATTTGTTTCTTAAAATTATTGTTGTACCTGTCTAGATAAAAAAGAATTTTACTTTTTAGTTTTTCTATAGAACTTATCTCTTCATACTTCTTATCTTTATCTTTTTCTGTATCCATAAAATTGCTAAACATTAAATCATCAAAGCTGTCCTTTGTGATTTGATTGTTTTCAAATTTTGGTAAGTAATCAAAAGCTGTTTCAAACGAGTCTTTAAAATGACGTTTGGTGAGTTCTTTTATTTGTAAGAAAAGATACTCTTTGTCATCCTTGTTTAATATTCGATCACCAAAAACGCGCCACACTTCGTGTGCCCAAAGTCGAATAAAAGTAACTTTCGTTTCCACTGATTCTTTCTGGAGTAGACTGCAGCCATTAATCACTTTACTTATATCTCTTATACTGAATTGATATTGGAATTTTACAGGTATTGGTAGGAGAGTTTTAATTACAGAATTGTAAACATCAATTGTAGCATTTGTTATACTGGTTACACTAGTTAAAACATCTGTTCCAAAAAGATTCTTTTTCAAGTTAGTAAGAAGTACATTTGAAAATATTCTAAATATGGTATCTGTAGATGATGTATACATACTGTACAAATTAAAATATCTTAAAAATCTAGGACATATCTTAATAGTGTCATTTCCTGTAACACTAAGTGAAAACATAGTATCATGAATAAAAATTTTTTCAGGTTTATTACTATCATAGAAATAACCATAACTGTGATATTGCCGCAGAAGTTCTAAAATATTCTTCATTTCTGATTTATGTTCGTTCATTTCCACATTGAGATCATCAATGAAATTAATGCAGAATTGATTTTTTGGAGGGCCGTAATGTGCCGTTTTTATTTTGTTCAATTTTAAGAGCAACAAATTTTGTGTTCTGAGAACAGTATTCATAGAAGTGAAACTAAACAAGTTAATTAAATAGTTTTCTATGAATAGTTTGTTTCTTAGCAAATTTTTCATTAAAGAAGTCTTTCCAGTAGATATATTTCCACAAATCAGAAAAGGCTTTTTGTACTGAATATGTTTTAAAAACAAAAAATTATATTTCATAGTATTAATCGTTGGTACACAAATTTCATTTGTGTCAGGTATTTCTGACAACTTTTCAGTTTTTAATAAATCACCCCAATACTTCCAATTCCCACTGCCCTTAAAAACGTAAAAGTTATCTTGTATTAAACCTTCATGAGGTAATGTTACATCAAAATTCTTTATTACCTCTGGTTTTGGATATTCTTCATTTTTTCCACTCCAAATCAATGTACAGAATGAATTAAATTTAATATGAGAATCCATATTTAAATTCCCTCCTAATCCCCATACAACAGACAATATAAGTGCAGCTTGCATCCATATTATAAAATGGTTTGATTTTCCCTTTTCTTCAGTATTTTCTGTTTGAATATCCGTCAAGTACATTTCCAGCAAATTTAATGTCGATATTATACAGTGTAATCGGTTTACAATTAAAGTTGAAGTACAATGTCTTTGTATAAATTCTAAAGAAGGTTGCATTACCCAGTCAAATAATGAATATAATACTTCTTCATATCCATTACAGATATGATTCTTAGAAATATATGTTTTAACATATGGTCTCCAATCAATAGACTGTGATTCTATATAAATTATTCCACATCTTGACAGCATAACAGGAGAAGTTTCTACAAGACTCATTGTTTCAAAAATAATAGATATAGAATCAACCACATTAATTTTCTCACCTGATGATAAATGTAATACTTTATTCGTATCAAGAACTGTATATAAACTTTCAATCCATGTATCATTTAAAGGTGCATCAAATACTATCCATTTTTTGTCAAAAGAATCATTTGAAAGAACATGAAGAATTTTGGAGCATATACCATCCTTCCAAGTTTTTGATTTTTCGTCAAAATGACCATAAAACTGTTCAACATTAGATACTCCTGGAATTAGAGTTTCCAATTTTACAGAGGCACCATATTCAATACCTTGTTTCCGTAAGGATATTAAAACGTCTTTCAGAACATATAGAATTTCCGTTTTTCCTACAAAAGCATCACCAACAAGCATTACAGCCTGATGAATACACAGTAACTCAAATACCTGTATTATTTTTAGTTTAAAGTCATCATGAATATGCAAGGATCTAAATTTACATACTGTTTCAAGAGTTTCTAGAAAGATTTTATAATTGGGATATAATAAGGTAATATTTGGAAACATGTTGTCTACAATATTTTTGAAGATAAGTATATCCACGTTGCAAAGTTTCGGTAGATTAACATCAATTAATGAACGTAGGAGTAACATAGTTTCATTTTCATCTGGGAAACTGCTTTTCAAATAAATTATAGTCTTAATAACTACTTTCGCGGAACATATATTAAAAATATTACACGATTCACACCACACTTGTTTGGACAGCACTCCGTAAACAACAGTTAATTTTGAGGCCAAAAGCTTTGAATTAAGTATACCAGCGGCAAACAGTTCAATTTCTACAATTTTATTGATATCTGGTGCTATCATAGATACTCTTCTAAATAATATTTTCAAGTTGTCAGGTAGTTCGCAATATTTAAATGAACCAATATTGCTAGTAGTGCAAATATGACCAGTTGGATTTAAGTTCAGCAAAGAACCCTCAAGAGTTATGACTTTTAAATTTGCTGTTACCGCTTGAACAATACAAACAAGATCTTGAGTAATCATGGACAATAGTTGGAAATTTAAATTATTAAAACTTTCAAAACAAAGCCATATTTCGCTGGAAATGAATCCTTTAAATACTTGACAAAAAAAATGATAAGAGGATATATCAGCGCAGTTAAAGATGCGAAACTGTACTGCAATAGCCTTTGCTAAACTTTTAACAGTCTCTGTTTTGCCAGTACCAGATAATCCTCTGACAGTACTATATAAGTGATATTTATATGCCTGCATAAGAGTGTGAAAACATCTATCAGTTAAAGCAGTATTAATTATACGTTGTTTATAGTAACTGTACTCACATCCATATTTTATATTTGTATTAAACATTGATACTGTGACATAGTCTTCATCTAAATAGTATCGTAATTGTGCAACCCATAGAAAGTCTGTACATCTAGTAATTTTCTGATCCAATAGTAGTCTAATAATGTCTTTTTGATTACTTATTATAATAATTAAAGATGTTAATATATCTCTATATTTGTGTGTTGTAAAATTTCTAATTTCATTGATTAAACATGAGAGATGATTAACATATTTTAAGTATAAAGAATTTAATACTTCAGTGTTAAATGATGTTAATGAGTTATGTACATTAGAAGTCCAATAAAGTTGAAAAACACAAATAATTATCATACTTGGAAAATTCAAAATATCAGTGTGTATAAAAGTTTTATTAAATGCAGTCCAACAGTTAAAAATATCTCTCTGCAATGTAGCATGCATTTCATTTTCTAAATGTGTTAACCATTTTTCTTCAGACACAGAATAAACATGAATAAACTTATCTAAGTATACTTCTTCTCCATAATCACCAATAACGGAACAAATACGTTTTTCTTTATCTATTCGTACTCTTTCTATACCTTCAAAACAAGCTTTTAGCGATGTACACAGATTTTCAAAACTGTTTGATTCAAATAATATATTTTGTACTTCTTTATCGGAAAGAAAAAAGAATCTTGGAAAATATAATCTTTTACTTTCAATGTAATTTTTTATACCTTGATGTACCACTTCAAGTTTTGAATTAGCATCATACAAAGTTTTTAAAATTATTGGATTATTAATTTCTGATAAAGTAGGAGTTTCACATAATTTGTTCTGAATACTTGTCAAAACCTCTTTTACTTCCATGTATAAAGTTGATTCTTTAGGTAAGTATGTTTCTATGTTAGGATAAGAAAATGTGGCATCTACAGAAAGTATTAAGACTTGAATGTGATACCATTGATAGATGATTTGTTTAATTCTATCAAGAGATATAGAAAAATCTATTACACTTGAAAATATTGATTTAACGAAATGTGAAGTTTTCATTTCTCCAACCATTATAAAATGATCTTCAAGAAGTAATTCTATATCATTCAAATTGGCAAACACATGCATTTTAGATGTTTTGTCAAAATTTATTTCAAAAGAAATTGTTTCCCATTCTTTAACCATTTTCAACAATTTTTCTTGTAGCTCTAATTCTCTGTTAGCACCTGTACTAATAGCTTCATATTTTTCAATGTCATTCATTAAATCAAATGAAATAATTTTTCTTAAACTAGTTCCAGCATTAGGCATTAGATCAAAATTGCATACTGCAGACATTTCCTGCCAGTGACGGGTTCGGAGAGCTGGATTACACATGCACACTACTAATGGCAAATATTTTTTAAAATCATTTATATCATTAAGAGCTTGCCAGCACACTTTCAATGGTGCAGGCTGTTGCATAGGATCTGGATCATCTGGTATGCCACAAAATTTAAAACATTTATTCGCTGTTAGATCCATTTTAATTTTTGTTCTAAACGTCTTCCTCATTTCAGTAATTGTGTCAAAGTAGTTTAATGTCTTCTTCTTTATAACACTGGCATCTAACCAGTCAAATGGTCCATCTAACCAGACAGCGTTATCATTTTGCCATTGATGAACAACATGAATAAGATTGTAAAAGGGGATAGTTACTTCTAGTAATTCAATTACTTTAGGAAACTCAGTTTCAGGAAATCTGAATAGTGTTTCTTCCTCATTAATTCTGTGCATTTCATTGTTAATTTTATTGACTTGCTTACGAAGGCCTCTGTAATATTCAGCATATTCGTCAATTCTATTAATGTCATCCATATTATCCAAAACACTGAGTTGAGGAATAATATTATCTACATCTATATTTAACTTATTTATTCTTTTTTGCATTTCATCTTCTAATTCATTTTTCTTTGCTTCACATAACACATTGTTCTGCCTAAATACTGGCTCTATTTGGTGTAACCAGTTTATAGTCTTCTTATTTAAATTAATATGATCGTCTGACAAGACAGTAATTTCCAATAATGTACATAGCATATTTATTAACTTCTGAATTTTATGTTCTAAATCTTTTATTAATTCTTTTGATGCGTGTAAAATGAATTCAGTTAACTCAATTAAAGACTTTGCATCATTTGGTACATCCAGTGCTTTTGTTTTTAAATTGTCAAACTCTTCACAGATACTCAAATTAAATTCTTGGTGATATTTGATAAGTTTAAACAAGAAAGCATTTACAATGTCACATGATTCTTTTTTTAAAGCTTCTTTAGCTTCACTTTGTTCTAATCTTCCTATTGTAAAATATGTATTTTCTACCATTGCACTCGCTTTTACGAAATATATCTTATATTTTTGGATATATTTGAGATATGAATCAAAATTTATTTTTCCTAGACTTAATGACAATATTTTTTTCTTTATACTGGGTGCACAGATAGGATAAAATTCTTCAGTGACATTCATCACGTGTTTGTTTATGGGTTCAAATAAGTTGCATAATATACTCTGCAACTTATTATGAGACTTTTTAATATACCAATCTGGTAATTTTATTTGAATAGATGTGAAAGGTGTTTTCAAATTTAATAATTCTTCAAATGGAGTTAAATTTTGAGCCATTCTACTAATGTTGACAATTATACTATGATATGTTGAATATATTTCTGTGATGCTAGGACTGATAAGGAGTTGACCATCATGTAGAATAAGTTGAAGTTTAATTTGTGGGCAATAATATTCATTGCTCATAATGGTTAATATATGATCTATAGATTGTATCATAACGTTTACAATTTGTTGTACAAAAACATGTGTTATACATTGCATAATATGTAACTGTTTTCTTGTGTTAACATTTCTTATGACTTTTGTTCTTATTATAACTCTAGACACTTCTTTATAAAATTGATTTGATATGATCAGAGATTCTTTTTTAATGTCATTATTAATTATGCATTGAAAATCATTCAATGACTTGAGTTGAAAATAATGACTATCTTCAAAATTGCAAACAAATGTTGGAAGTACAAGTTGTGCCATATCTATAATGAGTTTGATTGGTTCGAGGAAAAAGAAATATCTTTTTGTTAATAATTTACAATGTCTTAAAAATTTATTATAATTGTAATTTCTTGTTTCTTTTGCAGTAAATATTGTAGAAAAACAATTTTCCTCTTCTACTGGTAATGATAATATAACTGTCATTGCAAAATTTTGCATATCTTTATTTATGATATCTTTTACTTCCATTAGCATAGATTGTATTAATGAAGAATATTTTTTTCTATACTTCTTTGGTAATAAATGTAAAATATTCTTCTTCCATTCAATAGGAAATTCTTTAATATCAACATACCTTAAACATTTTTTCATTTCATTATATATTAAAGTGTGATTTGACACTGGTATAATATTTAAATTATTGTGACTATGTGCATTTACCACACTTGTACCCATGTCTTTTGCAAATGAATCTTAGCAAAAGAAAATTTAAATAGGATAAAGTATCACATATGATCAAATTATAGTAACATAAACACTTATATGTTATTGTAAGTTAATAGTAACATTAAATATTTAAATACAACAATTTATAGAAATAACTTGTAAGTACACTGAACACAATGTAGCTTATTAAACACTATATGCATAAACTTATGCCATAGCCATAGCTTACTTATATGTATGTATATATACACCAGTATGTAATGTTTTATCAATACTACTTACACTACTGATACTCTTCTATATTAAATATGTTGTAATTCAATTTTGCTATAGATGTAAAAATGTTAGGATTTCTGTTAGTTTAAACTGAATATTTACAAGATGTATTATTAAATAACTGCTAATAAATAAATTAAAAAATTTTAGTAGTACTATTTTTTACATCAAGAACATCTCCTCATTCTGTATACAAGTTACTGAATTATTAAATTTTAGAAAATAATTAATAAATACGTAAATAGTAAACAAATTAATTCTATTATCTTCATACTATAGGTTATTTTACGACGTTGATTCCGTTATATTCTCCATATCTATCAGTCACATGCATATGTCACAAAATTGATTGACGATAGAAGACACATATGTAGAAGTTTAACATGGAATATTTCTTTTAATAAGTAGTTTGCCGTGATTGTTAGAAAACATTTGCAAATATGAGCAACATTTATATACAAGAACCACCCACAACGGGTAAAGTAAGTACAACTTTAAGATACTTTGGCACACATTTATTTGTTTTCAGTAACATAACCTGTAATAGTAAGTATTTCAACATAACATTCTATTTATGTATATATGTATATGTATAATTATATTCTATATGTTATTTATAATACCTTTTATTTTATTGAGAGGTCATTAATTTCTTCTAATTAGGTGATAATGAGAACAACAGTTGGCGATATTGATTTGGAATTATGGACTAAGGAAGCTCCTAAAGCTTGCAGGAATTTTATACAACTGTGTATGGAAGGCTACTATGATGATACCATATTTCATAGAATCGTCAAAGGTTTTATAGCACAGGGTGGTGATCCAACAGGCACAGGTGAAGGTGGCGAAAGTATATATGGACAACCATTTAAAGTATGTTTTAGTTAATAATGGAAATTAATTTTGATCCAATTAAAATATAACTAATAAATACATATATGTACATATATGCAATAGGATGAGTTCCACACAAGATTACGATTCTGCAGACGAGGTTTGCTTGCTATGGCCAATGCAGGAAAAGATGATAATTGTTCTCAGTTTTTCTTCACTCTCAGTTCTGCTCCAGAATTACAAAACAAACATACTATCTTTGGTAAAGTTACTGGAGAAACTATTTATAATATGCTTAAACTTGAAGAAGCACTGGTAGACGAAGTAAGTTTATTAGTTTAATATATTGGATGAAGTACTGGAAAAAATTGAACAAGAATGTGTTACAGTATTTTTTTCTCCATTTTAGAATGATAGGCCACTCTATCCTCCAAAAGTATTAAATACTGAAATACTAAGTAACCCTTTTACTGATATTGTATCTAGAATCTCAACAAAAAAAGGTGACGATGTGAAGGATAGTACAAAAAATAAAAAAACAGGAGTGAAGTGAGATACACAAATATTTAGAGTATTTTATTACATTAATAATATTCTTCAATATGGAATATATTTTTGCAGAAATTTTAATCTTTTGTCTTTCGGAGAAGAAGCAGAGGAAGACGAGGAAGAATCTGTGATATTAAATAAACAATTCAGTGGCAAAGGCAAATCAGCCCACGATCATTTATCTGATCCAAAGTTAAGTGCTCAACCAGCTGTTGAACCAGCTGGTCCACCTAGCAAAAAAAAGAAAGAAGATCGCACTAGTGACTGGGAAAGTGACGATGAAATAAAAACCTCAGAAGAATTAGAAGCTATAAGAAAAGAGAAGGAGTAAGTGTATTCTATACAATTTGTTTTCATTTTAGAAGATGTATTTTTATTTCTATCATTATTGTATCCTCAGCGCGATGAAAGAAAGAATTAAAAATAAATTGAAGGAACCAAAGAAAGAACCTAAAAAGGTCGAAAGTTATAACGTGGACGATGTCGAAGAAGATAAGGATGTAACAGAAGATGAATACTATCTTGGAAAAGATAGAGAAGAAGAACGTAAAAAGAGAGCGTATGTATTTTTTACGACTTTTAACATAACAATATCGAAAGATTTATTATTAATTTTTATGTAGTGAAGAAATTAGAAAAGAAATTCGTGACTTAAAACGTGACGTCAAAAATGAAAAGAAGGCAAAAGAGGCAGATCAAAAATTAAAGGAGGAGCAAGAAGAAAAGAAGGGAAAAAAAACGGAAATTATGAAAGAATACATCGAGACTCAAGAAAAATACAAAGAGGCGAAGTCTAAAATGCCTAAAAAGGGTAAAACTCGCGAAGACTTTACAATGGATTTATTGAAAAAATTCAAATCTAAACTTCAGAATGCTAAGGAGACTAGACGAGATAGATCGCCTACTCCACCGAAAAAAGAGAGTAAGAAAGAAGAAGATGATTTTGATCCGGCCGATGAGTCGTGGATGGTACATACATTACAGTGTGAAGAGAAGGCGCCTATCCTCGCAAAAGATGCGAGTACGAAAGACGACGATTGGTTTGAAATTTACGATCCTCGAAATCCACTGAATAAAAGACGAAGGGGGGAAAAGTCGCATACATTGAAGGAAGATAAAGCTAGACGAGACAGTTCGCGTCACAAATAATACGTATTATAAATAATTTTGGTGTAACATGTGAGTAACAGTAAGGCTCTTACGTTACTTTCTCACTGTACAGAACTATATATAGATTATGTTGTTGCGACCCGTGATTGGTCTTTCGATCGTTCGAGTTTGATAGAATTTGAGACAGGTTCGAAAGATCACCCTTCTTGTGACAAAAGGACAAACTAATACTGTGTTGTTTTCAACGAGTTTATTGAAACTCAACACTTATAATTCACAAGCACGGTGATCGCGGAACAACGTGTGAAACAAAGAAATTGTACAAAAATTCTAACTGAACACATCGAAATGTGTCTTTCGTTGTATCTTATTTTCTGTCTAAAATATGATGAATTTACTTATCCTTAAGTACACAAGGACGTCCAAGAAAGCGGTGACGAATTTGACTAATCACTGGCCCCGATGTCCATGATTACAAAAACCAAGTATTTTCGTACTGCTCACAGTACTTGATGATAGGGGTAAGTGGGGGATGTGTAGAGTGTCTGCAATTTTAGCCCAACGACTAGGGTCGGGGATTATGATATGTAAGTCGTTACAGCGGTCACCCAATGGACTTTGACAATCATAAAGTGTGCTTGACGAATTCATTGGTTCGCTCACGGTGACTCCATTGTTGCAAAAAGTAACGGCCTTCCAGGTGGCTGTATTATAAATCTGCACGTGAAGATGTCTAAACATGTGTATTGTATAAAATGAATTTCTCTTATTTCTTTTTTTAAACAAAATTTGAAGCACGATAAGATTCTTGATGTAACAATACTTTTACGCTATATAAGTTCAGCGTATATTTTTTCGTTTATATCAGATATCTGTTTACGTACACATGACGTCAAAGTAATAGAAGTGATAGGCGCGTCGCAATTTGGCCGTACCGGCGAAAAAATATTTTTGATGCATGCTCTCGGCGCGGTATGGATTCGTTTAGAATACTTCATGAGATAACTTCAATATTCTGATGACTATGTGGGTGAGTAGTAAGGATACGATTTCGTGCAAATAGAATTTTAGATCGGAGCTCATCCCCGGCACAGTAAAAGATGATAAGGCATCGATACAAAGCCTTACATATTCGTTCACGGAATCAGTTGATCTGTTGACAGCGACCGATACACATCGTGTATTTACGTAACTTCGCGGGTATCGAACGAACGTAATTAATTAATACATTTGAATAATTACATGTTTAATAAATCTTCAAAAACAAGACAAACATCAAAATACCCATAAAAATTAAAGTATAAATCTAAACAGCCTTATCAATTATCCAAACGATAGAACAACTCGAAGTTTCAATTGAAAGGAAGAAATAATTGTTAGAAAAGTGATAGAATCGATTATCGAAATTTGTTGTAAGGAATATATACCCACATACGCTATAGGAGTCTTCAGAATGTTTAACTTGTGCTAGTGCGTGTAATTCTGTTAAAATTCTGCGCGGGTGAGAAAAGTGATCCTGAAAGTGTTCTATGCCGCAGATCTGCGAGGAAAATGCCAGTGACGCCATTAAAGATAGATGCATTTGGTATGCTTTGTTTCGTTTATATATTTAATTAATCGCTCGGAACGTGTAATTCTAAAGCGGCAATAGTTATCTACGCTGTTGAGTAAAAGAACAAAAAAAAAATGAACCACTCTGATCTAATGCTGGCACGCTTTTCTCGTAAACCATAAACTGCATGCGTTAATTTTTATTAACTGGCGATTATTACGTTTGTTGTTAATTTAACATATCAGCGCGGAAGTGTACACACAACATTAGCGTCAACTGGTTGTCTATTCTCGCTTGATTTGACACGTGGTGAAATGCGTGAGGCGTGCAAGCGTGTAGGTTGAATGTATCAGCCGTGTATACTTGCTACGATCGCGGTGACCTATACACGGCCCATCAAAATCGTCTTTAGTATTTATAGGTGAATTGGCTAATTATGCAACAACGATATTTAGTGAAGTGCCTGCGGGGGCAGCCAGCTGGGAAATCTGTCGTCCTTTGAAATTTAATATAGTGCACATTCACTGTTTGATCGCGTATTCTTCTCTGATGTAGCTCATTTAATCGTAACAAGCGGCAATGTATGATCTCCCTCCATGAGATAGAACAAGTTTTATTTTTAAATCCCTATCTTCGTCTACCTATAGAAGGGTCGTTACGTTTATACGGGGTGTATCGGTAAACCCGTATCATGGATTTCCATACGCGCGCGCGCGCGCACACACACGAGTCAGATTATACTAGAAACTGTTTGTAAATACTATATCTCCTGAGCCTACGCGAATGTTTGCAAACACGGTCTTGGTTTATTTTGATAAGTATCGCGCGTGAGCAAAGTCCGCGCCACGAGTTTCTGCGCACCCTGTATATGCGTCTCGACAAATGAGAAACGATTACGGCAATACGGGAACGTTTTAATTACCATTCCTCGTGTCATTCTGGGTTTTATCGTTCGGAATTCTATATCAAACGAAAAGTACGGATATAATTTTTAAAGATTGAATTACTATATAAAAATTGTACGCATACGTTAGGTTGTAAGAATTGGTACGATTTTTCGGAATGTTTTTATTTTACTTCTAAACGCATTCGAACGATTAGAGAAATGAATGAGCGATTTTGTTTTGTTTTCTTTTTTTTTTTTGCGATAAACGAATGCATCGAAAAGTTATCGGAGTTGCCATTTTTGTGACTTCCAATGTCTCTGGATTGTTTTTGTTTATTGAAATTTATTGTGGAATAAAAAAGTCTTATATGATTTAATGACAGTTTGCGGCGTAACCCCTGTATCACGCGTGGGTTATCGGTTTGGTACAAAATAACGAATCCGATAGCCTCTTTGTTCATCAAACTTTCGTCCGCGGAAGGCGGTGGAAGTTCGATGACTCCGCGCTTGATCCTAATGATCTGAACCTAATTTACCGACCGATAATTTTTAGTGTAATTATAACGTTTCTGTGTAACACTGTTTGCAATCATATAATCTAAAATGACACTGACAATCTGGTAATTTTTAGTTAACACCGTACTATTGTATAAATATTGTCTGTTGAATATGTTACAATTTTAAAGAATGTTCTGTAGCGAAAAATCAAGCACCAATAAAAGAATTATTAGTGTTTTCAGAATGCAAATATAAATTAGAAAAATGTAATGAAGAATTTTGATTTTTGAAATGAAAATATTCCCTCATGGAAGTGGCGCATAATTTCGTCATTTTTTGCTGCCCCTACACTTTGCACAGGTACACGCGCGAAGATATCTTCCTGTTGGCTCGTAGTATTGGAAGATAAATTGATCTATGTTTTTTTCTATCAATAAACTGACGACAACTACGTAAAAAGTATTCTGTAAAGGAAATTCCAATGCTACAAGGATTAATATCTGACAGTTATAGGTTCATTGATTTTCATCCACTACGTCGTCTTTTTTGTCGATACCGGGACGGCGTCTTAAAGTAAAATGACCAGACGTTTTGAAATCTATCGTAATGAATAAAGATAGATGGAAATGTACCTGATCGTCGCGCGGTCGTAGTTGCATATAAACGATACACAATTGTGTCGTATCACGGAGTGTCGATGGTCATTGTAAAATATTGTATGAAGTTTTACTTCGATGTAACGACGAATGCGTATTGGTAGATGCATGATTGTAATTTAACGAATAAAGGAATAAACAGTTCTTGTACTGATTGTTTATTAACCTTTGGATTTTGATTAACTGGTCTGAAGAAGAAATTTTAATTCACGATAGTCGCATTTGTAGTTGATAAGAAAAGTCACCTTTAGTGTCGTAAAACGCCAATCAATTCTGGCAATTCAATATCATTGCTTTTTTAATTACCGTACAGTGTTTCTAGTCTGACTGAACGATATTTAATATATTTTACTATGTTGATGAAAGAATGTATGACCTAAACATGGTTAAACAATGTTTTTTAACTTCTTGTCTTGAGCAGTAATAATCCCCGAATTTAAGTACGTAAAACTACCACCGTGATTTTAAAATACATATTTCGACAACAGTGTGATTAGAATAATGTCTTAAGAAGATTTGGTTAAAATATGAGAACCTTGTATATTGCGTATCACGAGAAGAAAAGAAGTACAAAACGAGTTGTAGTTGAAATCGCGGACAAGAGAAGCATTTTAGCCGCAAAATTAATCTGGTCAGAACGTTAGTCTTGTTTTGTGATACAATGGCTTGTTTGCGACATATCGTTCTTTTAGAATTTTTCTACTTTGGCAATTAAATTTGCGATCTTCGTATCCCTTCCAAAAGGATATTTCATTAAAATTCAACAGATAACAAGTATTTTCAATCAAAGTAAACACCATTCGAATCTATAGTTTTATTACCATATTTGTGATAATTTTTCCATCCCTCTGCAGTAGAACTCAGGTGACTTTGAAGCAAAGTATATGTGGAAAGTTGTGCGTTGTGACATAGTCGACTTTAGAAAAGCGTTTTCCGGTTAGCAAATGTTGCAGCGCTCGGGACAAGTGGAATTGCTTGGAGCAGCATCTGAACTATACGGTGGGTGAATTAGTCGTTCCCAGCCCAATTTTTCAATTTTTCCCAGTCTGAAATGTGTGGACGAGAGTTGTTTTGTTACAAGATGATCCCTTTTTTTAGGAGCTGGCGTAACGTATTTTTTTTTAATTTTTCCTGAACACTGTCGCTGAAACAAATAAAGTTCCGTGTTTATGCTATGGCTGTCGTTGAACGTTAATATTCTTTTGGAAGGAATGTGAATGTCGCGAATTTAATTGTCAATCTAATGCTTACGCGTGTGTCTTTAATAAGATCAATGTCCCTATTTCTAATCGCGTCCCGATTTTTGCTTAGTACGTATATTTTTTATTTAATGTAAAAAGTTAAACAATAAATTAGTTATACAAAAAATTATTTAAATTAGTTCACTATTTCCGTACAAAATGCTACAGCCCGTTGTTCTATGGATGCCAGCATTTTAATAGAAATAAATTTAATAAGTATGTCCGTTGTAAAGCAAACGTCATTTGAGCGGTTCCGTTGCGATCGTGAGTTACACGTGGACGCCGCGTTTTTACTAAAAAACTTACGGAATCTTTAATATTGTTCGCCAAAGTTTGGTTTTCGCACTTTCATTTTTGCTCAGCAGAAATAGGCACATTTTATACTTCATGTTAAATGAACTATTATTAAGTTCAAAAATGTTTTTAAAAATACTATTAATTAAATTTAACTATAAAGGGAGGTTTCAATTTTATATCTAATACATTTTTTTGTCGATTGTTGCATTAATAAACCATAAACATCAATTTCTGCGATAGCAGAACTCTTACATGATTAGAAATAGGGACATTGACCTTATCTGTCTATAGTTCGTACGGAAAAAGTCTCATTAAAAAAAATGTTTGCAATTCGTAGAGGAGGGTCGTCTAAGAGATTGGCAGCCTCGTAGGTCTCAGTACAAGGTGCCGCTGAGGTTATTGCGATTGTGTTTGCTCGGAATGTTTCTTCCCTCTGCATTGGTAGCGGGGCCGATGTACTTGCGATATCGCGTATATTCCGAGCAATTGTACCCTGTAACCGTCTCCGATCAGAGGCTTATCGATGCCAAAGTATCGACAACTTGGTGCCAGGTAAATGACTTTTTTTTTTCTTCTCTTCATCTCCAATCGATATTTCACCGTCTGACCTTATACTTTTTCGGCCGTCACACGATGCCCGAACAGACATATTTCGCGAATAAATCGTTATTGTTAAACATCGGTTCTCCGCAGAGTCAGGTGATAAAAGTTAACGCGACGTTCAACGCTTATCTGATGAGCGACGAGCCGAAAGTCGAGAACGACATGCAAGCCGTTTCGATGACCAGACACTTGATTTTGGAGGACGACATGAAGGAATATTGGGGATTTTATCTTCTTCGCGGTAGCAGCGTAACAGTCTCCACTTGCGTCAGGTACTTGTGTATTTCGATAAACATGGTACATATAAATAATTCTTTTTATCTTTCAAATGCAACTGAAAAGCAAAAAGAAACTCAATTTCAAATGCAACAAAAAAGAATAATCTTCCTTTAAGAATAATTCGAAGAATGCAATTCCTAAATGTCCTGAAATCCATACCAGATGGCCCGGCGCTTCTTTGACGATAATTCGTGGGCACAAACATCTTCACGAGTGCGCATTCATTGGTGACGACAGCAGCGAAGAGCTGGAGGAACTTCTAGAAGTCGCCAATGAGACCGGGCTTCTTTCCACGAACGGAGTAGATGAGGTATAAACTGATTCCAGAGTGATCTTTTGAATTTGCAATTTTCTATACAGTATTATCTTTCGTTGTGCGTTACATTCCGAAAAGTAGATCATAAAAGGATTACTTAATAATGCAGTCCCCGCTTAATTGATGCAAGCTCGGGTTCGCGTTGTGGCAGTTATCCGGGTAGGTAGATATTCTAGAAATTGTCGACTGTTATCTCTAACTCCGGTTCGTTCGCTTTTTGCGTCAGAGACGGGAGTGAGAAACATTCGAGCGTGAGTGGAATAGAGAGAAAGGTTCGAATCAGCTGTTTTACGATGTTCGGCGCAGATAACGTGGACGCTTGATTCGTCGAAGCAGTTCCAGGAATTAGTAGGGATAACTCAGCGTCAATTAAGCGGGCAAAATGGGTCTATTAAGTAGAGATTACTGTAATTTCACAATTGGCAAATATTCCGTACCGAGAATTATAGTTCCATTCATTAGGACACCTGTTCCGGCTGGAATCATTTCATATTATTGTAGATATTAACTATTGAACTTGAATATTAGAACTACCGACGATGAACGTATAGTGGAAGATTGCCGAATTTGGACTTCCGCCTAGGTTGGACCACTGTCGTAGCTTGTCAGGTGACAATATGTGTATGCGAGTGGTGATTGCATTAACTAACTTAGTATGTTAACAACACATATTGCCTATCATACGACGTAAATTGCTTACACATGAAAAGTTACAATAGTGGTCCAACCTCCTACTTATTTCTGTCAGATCGATGCTCCGTAACAACATTTTGAAAATATTCATATTCACAAGTTACCCAATTTCTTCGTTTTCATATTATAATATACGTTCTGGAAGGTCTGGGAAAACGCATTGTTGTAAGATGTTAACCATCGTTATCAGAGTCTACTAACCAGTCGTTTTGATTGCTATGATGGTACTAGTGTTAATATTTCGTGAGCGTACATTTTCACGAATTTGTGTCACAGAACGAGAGTCCAAGCAACGCGCCAGAGAAGATGAAGAGGGCCCAGAAAGGTGTACAGTTCCACCACAAGGACCACGCACTTCCTCAGAACAGCTCGAGGCACGTAACGAATTCAATGATGCACCACTATAATAGCCACGAGTTAGACGCGAAGGCGATGAGAACGATTCTCACCGAGCTGTTCGTCAAGACACTCGACACGAAGAAGAAGCAAAAGGAGAATCCCCATCATCATTACGAGGGTACCTTCGTGGAAGCGGCGAATATCGATAAACCGCCTGTCCAATATTCTTCTCGCGTTGTACAAGAAACAACTAGCCAATACACGGAAGAAAGGACAATAAAAGGGTCGGAGGTGCTTTCGCGGAAAGAAAGCGAAGCCACGACGGAGGAGGTTAAATCGAGCACCGTGATCAACGGGGAATTGAAGCAGCAGAACGGAAAACGCGATAAATCGGAGCAAGATGGCGTTCCGCAAAAACAAACAACCGAGAAGGAAATAATTAGTGAGCCTCAAGGGAAATTAGGAGAATCAACGTCTGCGGAGGTGTTCCGCGATGTTTTGGATAGACTCAATTCGCTGGGTTATCGCGGACAGAAGATGCTGAAGAGATTGGTGGACGAAATCGAGAAGAAAGGAGCCGAGGGCGACACGTTGCGGCAGGCGGTGGACGAGTCAATGAAGAATCAGAAGCTCACGGAGGCTGAGAAACGAAGAAGACGAAGGGACCTGATCTTGTCCTCGCCTCTTCAGAAGGAACTAACGGAAGAGGATTATGACGCGGATGCTGCTGTCGAGGAGGTAAAGTATAATTGTTATTTACTCTTTATTGCTGGCCTTGATATGGGCGTAGCCAGGTTATCAGTCAGGGGAAGGGGGGTCAAAAATATTAACACATCGACTGCTACAGTGAAAAAGGATGTACGTAGCCAGACACACTTTATTTTGGTTTTAAAGTCATAAATCGTTGAAATTGTCTACGTTTTTTTAATAGAGGTTGTTGGTCGTGTTTCAAATTATACTGCAATATTAAATATTATGCAAAAACGTTGTAACTCTGGCAAGGGAGGGGGGCGGGCAAAATCTGATTTGTCCTTGCAGGGTGGGGCAAAAGTCACTTTTTTGGGCAATTGCCCCCTGCTCTCTCTTGGCTACGCCAATGGGCCTGGATCAAGATTTTTGTAATAAAACGTACAATCAAGTACCTACACAAATCATAAAAAATTGAAATTTATTTTGAATAAAATTAAATAACATTTGATTGTAAGAAACAATGCTTCGTTATATTTTAATAACTTTGGTCCGATTTATTTCTACATTTAGTGCGATTTCTAAGTAGTTCGAAAGGGAAACAATAAACAAAATTTCATTTAATTATTTCTTTACATAAATGGGATGCTTACAATTAGTCGGGTCCCCCTGCAATGTGGAGCCGCGGCTGCAGCCCACCCCTAGCCCCCTTTGATTCGACGCTGCTTTAGTAGTCTTGTTTGTGTTACTGTAAATGTGACTGTAATATTGTAAATTCATTCTTTTATGCGCTAATTCATACAGCAGGAAATGAACAGAAATTTATTTCACCTCAGAGGAATATTGCTAGGAATATGTTAGGTTAGTCCCAAAATTTGAATATTGTATTATAGAACTCGACTGGATAATTATATATACTTCGTTTCACACAGTTGTATATGTATATTCATATCTGTGACTGATTTTACAATCAATTATCAAGACGCACGGTAAACCTACTTAATGTTTCTCGTTTCCATTCATTTAATCGTATTTATCAGTCTGAAAAGTTGGGTAATATATAATAAAAATATGTTTCTATACTGCAAGAGAAAAAAATTCGGATTAACACGACAAACGCTATTTTAATTTCATAGTTATATAGTAACTAGAATTTACAATTTTATTCACATTTATACATTGTTGAAGAAACTTAATTAGTATGTAAAATTATAATTTGGCGAAACTTTTAAAATTTTTTAACTAGATTTTTTAACGTAATTACACATACATGGCGCTGGTCTCACATAATTTTCTGTTAATCATGTTTACAGTATCGTATACAAAAGTAATAAATTTATAATGTAATATTAGATTCAATACTATTACAATTAAAATTATTTATTATTTATTAACGCATTTAAATATTATACCCTTGTTTCGTATTATTTTTTGCGGTCTCTTGGGCGAAAGGGGGATTTCACAATTAAAAACTTTTTTATTAAGAAGCCCTTTATACACTTTAAGTACTACTTCCAATGAAAACATCATTTATGCCCCAAAATTCTTATCTGTTAAAAAAAATGTTGACTAGCCCTACGTAGTAAAATCTGCTACGAATGTAGCCTGTTAGTAACAACACGGTCTCTAAAAAACATTAAGCCTGTATCTGTTTCGTGTATTTTTTTAGCGGAACGAAATGATAAATAGAGATCCGCTCTACCTAAATTGCAGGGTAAACTATTCGTTCTCGTGTAACGCTCTTTATTTTTACATATCTAGAGTCATTAAGACATTAAAATCTTTGTTTTGCCATTCATACGGTCAATATCATTACGCAGTATCATCTTTTATTGCCTTGTTATGAAAGACGCAGGTGAAAGTTATAAGATTTCGAGACGAAATAGCGGTGCAACCTGGAAAATTTTCCGAGTATCGACGTGTATAATTGCAAATTTTCTTCGAAATTTTGGTGCACAATAATCCGCAATAATATCGTTAATATAATACAATACCGTGGTAGATCGTGGAAATTTTTCGATGGTTTGAAGGTTACAGTACCGAATTTTCTCCGAAAACCTGGGACCCAATCATTCGGCGAGATATTTTAATACGATAAAATAAAGAAGTCAGGATTAAGTTGAAAGCTTAAGATCGAACTTGTTTGATCGTAGATGTCAGTTTTTGATGAAGATAAATTATTGATGGAATCGCCAGAAGGTTTGGGAGGTATGTTTCCATTCTATCAATATCTCGACTGTACACGCGTCGCTGATAAGAGGGCATTATTTTATATTATCCTCATTAGAGATTACTAAACCACATAATTGTTCGTCGGCTATCTGTAATTTGCTCGCCAGCAATACCAATCGGGAGCGTTCGAGAGGTTCCTTATCGAGATATTTTCGAGACAGCGTTAAATATTTGCGCAAAATGCTTTCGACTGGAACACTGAGGAAGATGTATCGCGAATCTGGTATACATTGATACCGTTTCATTGACGTAATATTAAGCTGACGAACGATCGGAACGAATGATACGGAAGTGAAAAGAGGTTATAGATTTGATTCTGTAATTGAAGTACCGTAAATTGGGGGGAAAATTAGCAGCACGGGGTAACATTGGTATACTGTTTGCGTGACGATTAGATTGTAATTAAGATGTGAATAATTAAGATGTTATCTTTAATTAAGATGAAAATAAGTAAATAAATGTTTGGATCGCAAACATTAATCATTTTAAGTCTTTAATTACGTCAATAAACAAATTATTTTAAATATAAATTAATCATTCGAATAAATACAAAAAAAGCGGAGAATGCATTGAACATAAAAAGAAAGAAATTTAAGCGCCCATGTAACTATTAGTCACTACAGCACTTTAGCTGTTAATGTTATTTAATATTGTTAGTTAGTTAATGTGTATTAAAGAACCAAAAGGACAACAATTTTATGCATTTTCATACTTGTAGTAAAATGACAATGAATGTAATGCTATAATAGGTTATTTAAAGCAAATGTAAATATTTTTACATAATCTCGCAAAATGTTACAAAAGCCTGTCAATGTCCCTCCAGTTTACAGTTTCCATAGATCCATTTCATTCTGTATCAAATTAGGGCTTCTAAGAACATCCAGAAAGTGGTGTCGGAGCAGAACAAATTTTTAATTTTCTTCGAAACGATTGTACTTTTAATAAAAAAAGATCGGTGAATTGCTAACGTACGATAACTTCATACTTTAAAAAATTCTTCCCCGTTGTCTATCATCTTTGTACAGAACATTGAAGGAATCTGTGATTTCGTTCGACGAAATTTTGTTATATTCAAACCTCGTTTTTCTTTTTGTGGAGATTATTATTTTCTGTGTTTATTGTATAATATTTCTGTACGTATATCAGGATATGTTGCATCCAGATGGCATTGCTGAGGACAGGGGGACCGTGAACGAGACGACGCTGAACGACAGAAGCAACTCTGAGTTCTGGAGCTCTTTCAGCAGCTCCGAGGAGCGATTACTGGAATGCAAGGGGCTGATATTAAACTTACCCTTAACTCCGCATCGGCATTGCACACCGAAACACGAGGACGAGCATTCATCGGTCTCGTTTGCGAATACGGTGACGTACAGGTACGCAGCATCTCGACATAGTTATGAATTCCTCGGGTGAGATATCACCAGATAAGCATTCGATTCTTACAAAATCAATAATCCTTGGATGGTACAACGACCTCTCGAGATTGTATCTTTTGATGCATTATTAATGAAAATACAACTTTAGTGATTCTTATATCTAATAATACTAAATCTGAAAATACAATATTAGTAATTCGTTTGGTCAATGTAGATCTTTAAGGGTACACGGTTGATGTTTGTAAAGTAAAGAATTTCTTTGGTCAAATGTAATTGTGTCTTGTTTAGCCAAAATAACTGAAGTTTGGGCCATTCTACTTCAAATCGATCACTTTTTGCACTCACTATCAGGCATTTTGTTCAAAATGAAATATGTTGTAGTCCACGTGAAATTAGGGGGGGTTTAAGTCACAATTTTTCTATTCTCGAATTTGTTTAAAAAATACAGACCACCGAAGTTTACGATTTGCGCCTATTTTCGTGAAACAGCGATGTACTTAAGATTTTATATCTCGGAAACTATTTATCGTATCGAGTTCGTCCTTCGAGTTTCATATAATAAAAAAATCGTTATAGTAGAGCAATACTTCTAGGTTAAAATAATTGAAGAACCAATGTTAATGGTTATCAGGGGTGTTACTGTGACTACTAGTTCGTTATTTATCGTGAGTACATTGTTTATAAAAAAAAATATTTTATAAAATGTTTTAAATCCCTGCTAATCAGTTCTGTACAAGTTTCGAGCAAATTGCCTGCAATAAATGACAAAAGTTGTCTAAAAAACCATAGCCATCTCTTTGCGTATTTGACTTGGATTTTGCAGGCAACGTCAGCTGACAAAATGGTAAAGCAAATTGGCAGAAAGTCTTGCAACAGGCTTATGTCAAATTGAGGACAAAACCGGAACAAGGTTTGCGCAAACCAATTTGCTGCATATGTTGATGCCAATTTGCTGCCTATGTTGCTGCCAATGTGCGCGCAAGGTGTTTATAGCAAATCTTGCATAAAACCTGTAGCCATAAATTTATGACAGGCATTGGAGAAAATTTGGCTTTGCAGGTTTGGCTGACTGGGATGGTCCTAAAATGATTACATATTGGTTCTTAATTTTTTTTTATAAATTGTGTACAAGATACCAAAAATATGCAGTGAGAGGGTTATATGAACTTTCTGTTTGGAGGTTTAAGCGATGCTTATTTATTCCGCAGAGTCCCCACGAATGGTTACTATTTCTTCGTCTTCAACTCCGAGAACGAGATCCAGCCGAACTACGTGCGTGTGCGTTTCGATCTTCTGAAGACCGTCTACAACACATCGAATCCCGTTCACGCATGCAAAAACAGCACCGCCGAATGTTCGTTGCCGTTCAAGCTTTTCAGCAAGGAGAGAACGGTCCTCGAGCTACCATTGAGTGGCAACGACTCGCAATGGAACGAGGAATACGTGGTGGTGTCGACGTGCGAGCCCAGAACAGCTGTTTACCTGCTCTGCGTCATACTGGTCCCACTGCTGATCCTCGTATTTGCCTTTCATTGACATCGCGATGTCTCAACAGTATTGTGATTTCGCTGATAATGCTCACTTGTAAATATTAGGCTTAAATCGACCGAAGACAAATCTATTGTTACGAATGGTGATAACGGAAACAGTATTTTCCCTTCTTGCACTTCCAATCGGCGGCCATGTTGTGGCAGCTGGCTAGAGAAATAATAGTTCAATGATGGATTAGCGAGAAAAAATCTGATGATTACAGTAAATCATCGATGAGTGTTCTATGACTCCTCGGCACTGACAAGGAGGGGTCCCCAAGTGTAACCCTGACTTTTTAATGAGGTTTGGCACAGTGATAGAGCTTGGAATTCGGATTCCAATGTTATTTGTTTCAGCCGTATATGGCTATTAGTTTACGAAATATTTATTTTCAGTGCTGCGGAGCCTTGGAACACTCATCGATGATTCACTGTATTCCTAGGGAGACGGCCCCGTATTTAAAATTCGAAGCTTCGGTGGAACTGCGATAGATACTTGTTAAAAAGCGATCGATGTTGTTTTTGAACAAATACGATGTGTATATGTATATGTGTATAGTAGTAAGCTTTGTAGATTGTATTATTTGTGATGCATGAATAGATTTTATAGTGCCATATGAGATTTGTTGTGTATGTTAATGGATACTGAAACAATATTTTTCTGTAGACAAAGTCATTGTAACTAATAACACAGTTTCATGTATTAGAACAAAAATAATTCATCATTGTTATTGTCGAGTATCGAATATCTAGCTATTGCATATGTATTGGATGTACATATATGGATATACATATAGTTATTGTTGGATTTTTGACTGATTTAATTGATGACATAGTTTCATGTACTAGAATGAAAGTAATGATACAGAATGTCATCCTACTATTTATTACTAGACCGCCGATTTTTATGTAAACGTAGATTCTGATTTCAAATTCTACCAGGTTCTAAATAAAATAAAAACCTGACTTTATTTGATTAAATTCTTTACTATACTGTGTTATAGACACAAGTATACACTATAAATGCATAAACTCGGCAGTCTGTTTATTACAATATGCTTTCTGTTAATTTATTAATATTACCATTTCATCCCGTGCAGATCTACAAGGTTAAGTCAAGATTTTTACAGCGAACCGAACGCCGCGGGATTGATACATGTAGGTATTATGTACAGATGGTTTATATTTTCAATAAAACAGAAAACTCAACGAATCGTACTAATCCCTTGTCGATTGTGTTCATCGTAATTATTCGTTCGTAAATTTAAAAAATGGCGCTTCAAGTAAGAGAATACTTTCTTAAAGAAGATAATAGGCAAGTTTTGTACAAGATTTGTATTCGACGAAAAATTAGCGTGACCGAGACGACGCTAATTAAGGATCGGGGGTAATCCTTTACGTCTTTCAACATCTTAAAAATTAATCTCCGTCCTATCTGTACCTTTAACCCCCTAGATTAATACTTCATGCCTATGCAAGAGAGCCACCCGACAACTTGACCCTGCGATTCCATGGTCGGTGAGGGTGGCGGAGGACGGCTCTTGGGGTTCTAGAGGGCGGAGCAACCCTTATCAGCAGCGAACACTCGCGCCTCGCGCAGCCTCCGTCGCTTCAATAACTTTTCTTTTTCTTCGAGCGAATTCATAGCCCATCCATGAAGCCTGTTCTTGTACGTGAATGTCGTTGCTCGATACATATCTTGGAATATTACCAAAGAGCAGCTTATCTCGCGACAACGGAAACTCTGTTTAAACTAAAAACAGCTTTCCCGTTGTCTTCGTTGGATTTACAGTTTATGGCGAGATCGAGCTGCACGATGACAGACGAAGCAGGTAATAAGAACTTTTGATTTCATGCAAAGATTGGCATTTGCTGCGATAGAGAAACTAATTTCGTGAATAGCAGAAAGTAGGTTCAAAGAGTGGACTGTTTGATCTTTCTTTCAGAATTATGAGAGGCTTTCTATAAGTTTTTATGTTAGTAGCCAGTTATGTTTCGTACTTCTATTGTTTTCTCCTGGTTTTAACAATAGAAACTTTCTCTCATTTGGTTTTTTGAAAATAACTGCAGATTATACTATTGGGTCGTTCGGAATGTTCGTAATGCTTTGCGCTGTCTTCCTTACCTTTTCACTAGACGAAGGAAAAATCGTTTAATCTGGTGAAAAGGTACCATTTGCCAGGTTCTTTGATTTTCTGTGTGAAATACCAATAAACGTATGAATAAGTACAAAGTTTATTTTTATTACGTTCTATCGAGTTTGTAAAAAAAATTACACTAGGTACTACGACTGGCAAAATTGTATAAGTAGCACCTACTCGATTAATTAAAATTTGCCCTGTGAGGTGATTATTTGTTTAGATTACTAGAATATTCTGTATCATGGAAAAACTTCGAAAACAAAATCCATCCAGAAGCAGGTTTGTTTTATCTAAAACAATTATATACCTGGTGCAATTAAATTAATTGAGAAATGGAAAGTATGTAATTGTAAAAACAGTAGAAAATAAAAAATTAGTATTGAAAAATATAGATTTTAACTCTGTTTTTAAAAACGCTGTGAACTTTTTGAATTAAAGCAACGCATTAATACTATTAACAACCGATAACGCTACAGTAGCGTCATGTGAGTGATGTGAGTGTCAACCGGTATTTTTCAGATATTCAATGTTACTAACTTGTTTTACATACACAGCAAAAACCATATTTTGTTAATTCTTAACAAAAACAGCCGGCCACTGGTGAAAGTCACTCGCGAAACTAGCCGGTCGTTATAATATTAATCTATTAGGATCCAACGTTGTGTTAATGCAACATTTCACTCCTATTTTTTTTTCATAGAATTTACGTTACTGAATTCTATTTTTCATATTGCAGTTATGTAAGAGGATCTCAAAGATTTGTTTAATATTTTTTTCGTCACTATTTCTTCCTCCACTTACATCCTAAGAGGTTTTGAAATTTGAAGAAATTGAACTATTTAAAGCACTATGATATACCAATTGTTTCTTAAATCACAGAATCTTTTTACTGTATCTTTCTCATGTAGTGGGCTTCTATAATATGGTGCTTAGTATTATAATACATTTTTTATATTTCGACATAATAATATGTAAGTTATTTTATTTACGTTTTTCAATCAAAGATTGCCCAAAGTTGCATAAACGGAACATTTAATTACACAAAAAGTGCCGATGCAAAACATTTTTTATAGCATTTATATTCTGTCTTATACACTTTTATAAGTCATAAATAATTATATAGGTTATAACAGTTCATTCGTGTTATTATACCGTTCCTAAATTTTTTATTCTTCTTATTAGAAACTTTTTACCCAGACGACGAAGTTGCTCGTCTCTGCTGTCAGAAAACGTTCCGTCGAACATGTACCGGAACTCCGTTCGATTCCAGGAGTCATCCACTGGTCCGCCGAGAGACGCACGTGGAAAACAAACACTAATAATGGGATTAATGTGGAGCGGCTGGTTGACGGCGATAACGAAAATTGATTTCACCCTCGTGCCCTTCGGTCCCTCCCTCGTCCGCCCCTGTCGCGGTGCTCCGCCGTGCTCACCCCCTCATGGGGCCATGGGGATTCCATTCGGACGCGTTGACGTTTCATGGGACACTGCGCAAAACCAGCGACACGCCTCTTTTCTATTGGCACAGCCTGCCGACAATAATTCTTCTACGTGCCCGACCATATTCCATTCTCCGTTAGGTCTGTCCGTGTTACCTTGCTGATATACGGTGGCATTCTCCCATGATAGCGACACCGTACTCGTTAAGAAACCCCCTCGTGTTTGTCGAATTGCAAAAATTGTCAGCGTGTCAGCCGTTTTTTCGTATGTTCTCATGGAGATCGCAGAGGGTTTGTTTACTTCAGTTAACTTTTTTGGTGAAACTACATTTTGTTTTAAATTTCTCCTTTTTTTAGTTTCTTCCCTATAAAATTGGAATAGATACTTGGGTATGCGTACATCTGGACAGAAGGCTCATTTGGAAGGATGATCTTATTGGTAGAAGGTGACAATTTAATATTAAAGTGAGAAAACTCCTTTTACAGCAAAGTTATTATTGCAGAATAAATTATTAGATATTATATAAATCAATACCTTTCTGGATTTATGGGTTACACCTCGAAAGTTTTAAAAAAAAAACGCATTGTAAGAATCTTAAATCAATGTCACCTCTCCCGTATTTCCATTTAATATTTATCGGGACTGTTGATCGGCCTGGAAAAGGTCAATTGTAGTTTAAAACACAGACAAAAAAAGAATTCCGTTGATTTTAGTATTTTGAATAGAAAACTGAGTATAATTGTTATTTAGACGAAGAATTATAAGTAATGAAGAGTGTCGAAAAGAATTGTGCACAGTATTGGGCGAATAAATACATGAATTTTCATTATACAAGAGGATATTTTATTTTTAAGCAATCAGGATTTTCTATTCACGATCTGTACATACATCCATTATTACTTAAACGTGTTGTTAATCAGAGCCTACTGATCTTTTTGATACCAGCATCCATGATTTAAGAATTTATTATATAACAAACTTTTTCATTTCAGCAGAAAACTAGAATACGATATTAATAATGTAATGTACTATCTTCTAATACTTACTAAAAAGAGTATCAAAACATGTACTTGACTTCATAGATCTTTCGGCTCTATTTTGAACACATTCAAGTAAAACTGGAAGTAGAGTATTTATTTAATTCCTTATCACAGCCTCGCGTTACGATCGTCAAGGGCAGACCAGAAATTTATCATCATTCAATGACCGCACGAGTACGTATCATGGACTACGCTAATACCCAATTCCTATTCGTTGGCACGCTCAAATTGAGCTGTATGTTACTGAACCTGTGGGAAACCGCTACAAAACCCACCCCACGCGACTTTTTGCCGCGCTTATGACCGTTGCGTTTTTAGGGTGGTGTTCTCGATTCGATGGGAATTTCACTCGACACGTATGAATTTTCATCATGAATAAATCACCT